AGTCAGACAGAAAGAAGAGTTCGTTGCATAAACAAACTGGGCAATTTTTTCATCAATTAACTCTTTTTCTAATCTGCTAGTTTTTATCACAAATTTATCTATGGTGGTTCCAGGTCGGAAGGGTTTTTTCTTTCTTTTAGGTGATAGTGATATGTGGCTGTGGGTGTCTGATGATGATGATGCTAATGAAGCACTATCCTGGATGGATAACTCTGAAACTGTAGAACAGGAGGATGGTGATCTTGAAGGTGGATAGTTTCCAGAATCCATGAATTTCCCTAAACAAAAAGTCAATGCTGTTATTTTATTGTTTATACAATTTCTGCTTATTGTACACAGCACTGCCCCAAAAGGAATATTTGCTTTTCTTCATAACTGTACCAAATGACAGTAACATGCTGTAATAATAAGAAATATAATTTTGCTCAAACATGACAGTTCAAGGCAGTCTTTAGAAATATGATTCAATAAAAAAGTTTACCAACCTGAAGACCTTGCCTGTTCAAATGTGTTTCTTTGGTCATCTTCATCACAGCACTTCTCATGATGTTGCCTCATTCGGGCCACCAGGCCTTGCATTTCTTTGTTGCAGTGTTTGCAGTTTGCACGCATGCCTGCCTTACCGATAGGTAAAGGAACTTCATTAAAATATTGCCAAACTGGGTCTCTTTTACGGTCTGCTGCCATTATAGGTTTTTTCCTCCAAGGAAAGAATGTGATAAACCTCAGGTCATACACACAAAAAGATCCAAAGACTTGTCTGTCTGTGGCTGTGCAGTATTGTGCTCAGAAAGTTTCACTTTCATTTTGTACTGCTTGTCTGCTTGCCCCTTCCTCCTCACACTTAGTTTCACTTTCTTCTTGTGCAGATCTATTCCACTGCAAACAATCAGAAAAATATTGTTTCTATTCTGTTCACTGAACTTCTTGAAACTTAGCACTGAAGGGGTTGATTCTGTATTCATAGGTTTGTAGAACAATAGGATTAAGGTCTTTTTCTCAACTCTGTTCATGTTATAACATTTTTGCTGTGAAGAAGAGGCATGATTCAGTTTTGAGAACTGCAAAAGTAAACCAAGCATCTGTAATAATATCTTGTAGGCAGAGAAACTGCCCAATAATCTTACAAAAACCTCTGGAAGAGCATGACATTGTGAATGGATTAATGGAATTTATTTACCAAAAAAATTAAACATATACAGCCTTATTCTACATAATTAAAAAACTAATCTTTATTTCATGATGGAATAACCTTTGGATGGTAATATATTTTCCTCAAAAAGCATTTTATTTATGTGAGTGTGAAGGGCCTGGCCCCGCAGTGCTTCCTTGCTCAGTTGAAGGATTTGTCAGACGGTAAGGCTGGCACATGCAAGCAAGCAGTGCGCCAGGACCACGGACGACGTTGGTTCCTGCACCCAGCCGATTCCGATTCCACGACCAGCCTTCACACTTCAACGCCACCAGCAGCACCGCTCAACTAGAGGAGTAAAAGGGGGCTGGCCGCACCGAACCTCACACCCTCACCCCGGGGATCAGGCTCGGAAAAAGATGAAGCACCTTCGCCAAAGACGTTTGCCCATCAGCTGTAAACTCGCCTATCGCACGCACTTTCACTGCACTTTGCCCAAGACCGGCCACTTGCTTGAGGAGAATATCCCCACTTGTGCATGCCCTCCCGGCCCCGCAACAGATGGCCAGGGGGTTGCGTGAGAAGGGAGCCGCCACCGCAGTTCGTGCTCGCTCCTCAGCAGCAGTTCGTGCTCGCTCCTCCTTTCCATAGTATCCTCTTCCCAGATCCCATTCCTATCCCGCCAGCCCTCATGTTAGCGAGCTTGCTGTTGGCACGGCTAGATTGGGCCAATGTCTCAGGGTGCAGCAACACGTATCCACAGAGAGGGCTCTGCATGCCACCTCTGGCAAGTGTGCCTTAGGTTCGCCATAACGGCTCTAGACTCTTACTTCATTGTTGATTATGTAGTTCTGGTGATTATTGAATTCCTACTAAAGTTAAGAATACCAGCTGTCTATTTTAGTGCTCAAGGGCATGACTTTTCCTTCCTCACCAACATGAACTGCTCACTGCAGAATAGCTGACTTTGTATAAAAAATAACACCGCTTAGGGGGCCCTCCGAAAGCCCTACTAGGCAGGTATATACAAAAAGTATGAAGGCTATTGCTTAACGCATTGTAAGCCGCCCTGAGTCTCTGGAGAAGGGCAGCATATAAATCGAACAAACAAACAAACAAATAAACAAACAAATGAAGTCCTCAACCCTCCCAAACAGTTTAAAAGGTAATCATGATTGATAAGACAGACCATCACTGTGATAATCAACAAGACCAGACAAGGTCCAGTGCCTCCACAAGTAATCCACAATAACAGCCAATACAGTTTTCTGTCTAGATCTGAATCCCACGTGTAAGAGATTTAGACAACTTCTTTAAACAGAGTTCTCTGTAACTGCTCCATAACATCACCTCCTCTTCTGCCTTCCTAGAAAGAGAGGCCTAGAGACATGATAGTAATTATTTAAGATGACCAGGTCAAATGATCAAGTCTGCCACTACCCTGCCTCCAGGATGTGTTCACTACTTTGTACATTCACCTTCTCATTCCCACATTCTCCCACAGAGTGGCAGAAGTCTTATCTACAAGTAGTACAGGTTCTCATTGGAGAAAAGCCTAATGCTGGAAAAGATTGAGGGCAAAAGAAGAAGGGGACGACAGAGAACGAGGTGGGTGGATGGAGTTATTGAAGCAGTAGGCGTGAGCTTAAATGGACTCCAGAGGATGGTAGAGGACAGAAAGGCCTGGAGGAACATTGTCCATGGGGTTGTGATGAGTTGGACAAGACTTTGCAACTAACAACAACAAGTAGTGCAGCTCATCCCTCAAAGGATGACTGAGATTAATATTAAGTAGAAGCTGAGCTACTGTAATATATGATACTGCTACTTAATGAAAATGGTTCAGGAGTAAATTCAGTGGTATAAAAAAACCCGGAGCTCTTTTTCTTTCCTTCCAGAGGTCATCTATTAAGGTAACAATAGCATATTCTGTCTCATTTTCAACCTTTATTGAAAAGGATTGATACACGGACACTTGTGGTTACATACATCACCTTAAAAACACTTTGCCACAAAAAAGGCTAATTATGACATGTGCTGGTTGGAGTAATCTGGATCCAGAGAGTGTTTTTTGAGAAATGACAAATTGTTACTTCCTTTAAAGGTGGCACCAATTACATACACACCTATCCTTGACTTACAATCATTCATTTAGTGACCATTCAAAGTTACAATGGCATTAAAAATAGGGACTTATGACCGGCTTTCACACTTACGACCTTTGCAGCATCCCAACGGTCATTGATCAAAATTCGGACGCTTGACAACTGGTTCATATTTATGATGGTTGCAGTGTCATGTGATCACTTTTTGTGACCTTTGGACAAGCAAAGTCAATGGGGAAGCCAGATGCACTTAACAATCATGTTACTCATTTAACTGCAATGATGTGCTCAAAGGAAGGTCATAAAATGGGGCAAAACTCAATCATTGTCTCACTTAGCAACAGAATTTTTGCTCAATTGGGGTCATAAGTCGAGGACTACCTGTATTCAACTTTTTTCAGTTAGTATGAATAAGCCAAAATGGGAAGGGTCAAGAGACCATATAATAGGACAGATAACTGCACCCTATCTCCATTCTCAGACAAAACTGATCCCATATGAGTAGATCAGATAATGCAACACATACTTCAGTATAAATTACAAGAAAAGTAGCATTGACATTAATGTACTTGAATTTACTTTAAGAGCTTCAGCATTCAGATTTTCTAGAACTAATGATAGTGAGCCTTTAGCTATCCTATAGAAGTGTTGCTAGTTATCTGATGAAGCCGTGTAGGTTACAATATAATAAAGGCTGCCAGATAGGCATATCGCTCACTAATGTTTAGCAAGTTATATGGCAAAACCTATATTGTATATGATAAATCCCATGCTGGTCTAGTGCTCTGGTCGTTGTCCTACTTTACAACATTGTTCAGAGCACCTCAGAATGAAGCCAGGCTTCACATAACTATACTGGGCTACTGAAAAATTGATCGTAAATGTTCTTTTTCTTTCCCAATTCAATAGATTATGGAGGCCTCTTTAACTCTGGAGTTCCCCAGAGGATTCAAGAACCTATCAGATTATATTATTCCCTGGAGCGGATCATCTTAATGGGTCTGGTAGAAGGGGAATGATGGAGTGATATCAAGCCTTACCCTGCTTTCTTAGAATAACTCTACTCCCTCCTTCCCTATCCAAACCTTCTTATATTCTGAAGTAAAAACCAAATTGAAGGTATGTTATCCCCAAAGGCAGATCTGGGACTGTCACAAAATCCTAAACTTAAATTCCTTATACCAGAAAACAGTGTATTAATTCCACCATTGCTATAACTTAGTTTACATGATATGTATCTAAAATGAAATATAGTTAAAATGGCTAACCAGGTAGATAAGGGTGGTGTGGGGGGGAATAATCCAGAAGGTTCACATATGAATGTTCACATATGAATGTTCACATGAATGGCATCCATTCTGGTTAGCATAACCAACCAATGCAAACAAAGTAGGAAACACCCACATTCAGGTGGATTATGTTTTATGTCAATAAGAGGAAGCACAATGGTACTTGGCTTTTCTGTACTACATATCAAAATATATTAGGTAAAAAATATTAGGTATATTAGGTAAATTGTAACTATTCTCAATTTCGAAAGACAAAATCCAATCATGTATTGTGGATTTATTTTTAAGAAGCTGCATAATGTTACAATAGTAAAATAAGATATATAAATAAAATATATAGATAAAGCTGGACAATTCTATCTGCATAGGTGTTTGGCCAAACTGGGACAGAGATACAGCAGCTTCAAGGAAGATTTTAAAAGACATTAATCTCATATATCAGACTTAGTGACTAAACCCACCCTGGCCCAATACCTTGTCATCTTTTGCGTTCACGTCGACTTTTTTTGATCGGATGGCTTTGGTTACATGGTCAATGTTGTTTTCTCTGCAATAGTCAAATATGTTCTTATCTTCCTCCCTAAGAAGAAATAAAAAGGGGTATATTTCCTGTTACCAAGCAAGAAATGCAAACTACATAAACATGAGAAGCCAGCTTTTTCATTAGTTCAATCATTTTACTGTTACTGATTATTTTAAACTTTCAGTGTTTTTGGCAAATATTGTAGACATCCTGCATCACAGAACACTTAAATAATATACTGCAAACTAACCCTCAAAGAACTGTAAGATATAAATCAGTTTCATTTAGGAAAAAAATCATTATGCATTTCTCATAATAATTCAAATTTTAAAACAAAAAAAATCAATTAATGTAGTTATTTGGGAAATCTATTCACCATCTTTCAAATGTGATGCCAACATATCTAATATAAACCTCCTCCTCACCACTCCTCTCTTCAGCAAATCTGGGTTCTTAGCATGAAGGAACCAACTATCTTTCCTTAAGGACTGCAAGCAAAACAAACAAACAAACAAACAAACCAAAAGATAAATTCTCTATCCACAGGCCTATCTAGCAAAGAGCCATTTACTCCAGGTTCTCTGCCTGAACTATGTCTTTTGCCAAACAGTGGATTATTTATCTCTGAAGGATTTCAAATACTTGGCATCTACTGTAGAAAAACTTGAGGCATGAGATGAGAAAAGAAAAAAGAAACATAACTGAAACTATATCAACACAGTTGTCCTTACCATGTTCATATACTGGCTTTTGTTCTTTATACTCAACTCTGCAAAAGATCCCTCAACTCCATCCAATCATGGCATATTTGGTCCTCCCTTCTCACTGTGTTCACTCTTTCTTTAATGATCTGATCTTCATGGCTTTTCTCTCACCTCAGTTTACATCTTTTGTACTAATAAAACATTTTGTATTTAATTCCCATCCGTACATACTTAACATTACAGTAAGTCTTCTTGTTTTGCTATACATAATTAAGTACCTTATTTCCCACTGCATTCACTTCCACAAAATGGACAGAAGCACACTCTTTACACCTCATTTATTTCACATTTCCTTTCTTTCATGTCCTTTTTTCCTAATCAAGAAAACTCTTAATACTACCAAATAGTTTGTTTCAAATTCTGAATCACTCCTCTCTTGTGTGTTTCACTAACGACATATTTCATTACTTTAAACAATTAGATCTTCTTTTTACAGTAATATTCATTCCTTTGTCGTGTGTGTGCGTGTGTGTGTTGTTTATGTATGAATTAATAGACCTATGTTTAAAGAATATATTAGCAAAATATTCACTATAGTTTTTTATACTTAACTCTTGTAATGGCATAGTTACTTTTCTGCATTCTCTCATTCTCATCTATTCATTCATGCCACCTAACTGAGTAACATTCATGTTAGGCTGTTCATTCAGAATGTTTCATCCCCCTCCCCCAAATCATCTATAATTTTATTCACAGTCATCATTCACAGGGGCACAGCATATAAACCATGTAATGATCATCAATCTATAGATCTGTACATACAATTATCTAGATACTAATTGAAACAATTTGACATATAATTTTATCCTTTTTATCCAGTTAACTCTACATTTTTATTACCCTGAATATATTCATTAGCTCAATTCTAAAAGTTCTTTCAGATTCATTACAACTTTCCCATTAGTTTCATAGACAACAATATACTGATTTTTATTTCATTTGTTCATTCATGCTCTTTACCATTTATTCCTCTTACATTCGAAGTTCCAATGTTCTATATGGCATAGTTACCACTAGATGAGGCTGAGTTTGACCTCTGCTATTGGTAGATTTCAGCTACCAACATGGTTTTGGTAGATTTCAGCTTTCATTTAACTTTTCAGTAAGTCTAGAAGGTGTAGAATATGTTAACAGCCTTAATCGTACAAATGCCATATGCAACATTCCCTGCTAACAATAAGGTTAATATCAGTTTTGTACATTGTGGCTAGCATGTCTTAGGAGCGTAGAATTTTGAACAGTGCCAGAGAGGGATGAAATGCTGAAAGTAGAGACAATGATAATTGGCTTATTAATTGTAGCCACTTACAAAACAGTTATTTGGTGGTGATAGAGATTTACTGTAGTTGAGCTATAAGATCTGTTTATTGTACATTCAGTTACATCACATTATAATCTGTTTTCAAACTTTTGTTCTAGGCTACTTTAAGATTATTTATAAGAAATGGTTTAAATGTTATCTCATTTTTAACATTATGATCTTATTGTGTGTTTATAAAATTATTTATCTATCTCTCATAATTAAAAATGAAACCTACACAGAGACAAAAAGATGGTGGAAACATAAAATATGATCAAATTCCAGAAAGTATAAACAACATGTGCATGCATATGTAAGTACATAGGCTACAGGGAAATGACAAAACAAAAGACATAGTAAAAATTCACTTAGAGGTCTCAATCTTTGTGTTCAACTGAGCTGAATGTTTTGAAAAAATCAGTGTCAACCATTCTGAAACTGGAAAATTTTGAAATCAGGGTCCCATGTTAAGAATCCTTATTTTGAGTCACTAAGATACGACTATGAGGAAGGTTTCAGTAGAAGAGAACATATGTTGACTTTTGTTCCTTAATTCCATTCTTTTCCAATAGTTTTATTAAGGATTATATTACATAAATGATATAAAAACCTAATTAAAAATATTTTAAGAAAACAAAAATGTGTAAAAAGAAAAAAATATCCTAAAACAGAAAATAATAAAAAAGAAATTCCCCCTTATCTCCAACAAGTACATCTTTTCTGAATGAAAACCTCAAATGTCTTATCATATGCTGTATTACCTAGGGAATCTTCAGCAAGCATCTTTTTTTTTAAAAGGAAAAAAATATTGTTGAGAGCTGCAGCACTATCCAGGAGTGGAAATAATGCATAAATCTTCTTTGTCAGCTTTGAAACTAAACAGCCAGCTGATAAGATGGCTGTGTTCCATTACTATTTCTTCTTATTTTTCTGAAATCATCTAACTGTTACAGAAAGACTACCATGTGCCACAAACAGGTGGTCTTTCCTGTCTGCTTGTCATTGTGCTACTGAAGCAAGAGATGGAAGCCAAGACACAGTTGCAACAGATACTGTTTATGTCAAGGCCCTCTTACACCTCATAGGGCCCATCCTCTCATAATCTCTAATTATCTCTTCGTTTAATCGCCCCATCACTTCTGAGGCTCTCTTGGGTACAGGAAGAGGAAAAGCTCATTAACTGAACCCTTTCTCCTCTCTCCAGCCACCCATAGCTTTTAATTGCTTGGTGTTGTTATTATCTATCAGTGCAACTGGGATCATTTTCATAAGAAAAGGCGGTGGAGGGAGAGAAGCAAGCATGTGTCCCTGAGGTATGCACCGCAGACAAACCTTTGCTTTCTCCATTATTTATGCCAGCTGAGGTTTTATAGGCTGAATAAATCCATAACTCAAGTTTATTCTGAACAGTCTGCTTCCCTAGAGAGGGCGTGATGCCCACTTGCCTGTACACTTCTGTGCTCTCCTCAGAGAATAACCAGAACCTAATGAGACATGTGTTACCCAATTGCCCACGCATGAAAAAAAGTATACACTACACGCAAGATTAGTAATGCAGGAACCTGTGAAAAACCACATAAACCCCTTCACTCAAAGCAACATACTTTTGTTTTTCTTTCAGTGTAAGGGAATTTAGCTTAGCAATATTCTAGTTTACCTGGACAAAAATACAAGTATGCTCTATGCCTGTTAGAAAATGAGAATGCAAATAAAGGTCCTCGCTGTACGTTCCTTGAAGAAAATTATGCCACCGCCACTAGCAACCCATTGCCTCATTGGATTTCAAGCTGTACCTTGGTAACTGGAAAATTTTATTTTAATCAATGCTTGGATAATAAATTGTAATTATTTGGAAAGCTGATTGGTACAATTGGTAACGAATGTAATGTAGTATTTTAAATGTTAGCGAAATGTACTAAATGATACTAGTCACATCATTTCTGCTCTCATTTGTTTTTAAAGGACAAGCATTCTTCATCTCAGCCCAAGTCACCTCACAGAATTGTTTTGTGCGGAAACTGGAGGGAAAAGGAGTATTAGGTATGTTCACCACACAGTTATTCATTAAACACGAACATAAATCATAAAATCATAAAGGCAGGATAAATAAATAATTTCCTTGCTCTTTTATATGAAAACATTTCCACGCTCACAGAGTTAGTGAGTCTCTCTGATGTTTCAAGGAACAGATTCATTTTTACATGAGTACAAAATTAATGCTAGGAGAAACCCAATGATATCCATAGTATGGCTCCATGTTTATTTCTGCCAATTTAATAATTAATATTCCTTACAAGAACTTGAGATTGAATAATTTCTGAATTACTTATTTAGGGAAAATGTATAAACTATGTAAGGAAAGCTGTTCTTAATTTTTTTTTTAGGACTACAGTACATACATGCCCATGTATACTGACCTCTGGTACTTTCTGTCAAAATTGTTCATTTATCTCTCAGATCAAATAATCAATTCTAGAGCCATCAATCTTTCTATTTCTCTACTAGGCTGGTCTAGCCCAAAGAGTTGGCCAGATGGCTGCTTGGGTTAATGGGATTAATAACATTCTGATAAATTAATGGCATCAGAGTGAAAAATATAATAGGAACTATCAAGCCTGCTAGATAAAACTGGAGGTTGGAGGACAGGAGTCTGTAGTACAAAATTTGTTGACTTTCAACTTTCACCCTTTTTATCTGGATTCAAGGAACCATGTTTATCTGAAATGACTTGATGTAGACAGAAATTGTTTGCATTTTGAATTATTTTCATATTTTTCTATTTACTTCTTGAGGATTTGAATAGAATATGAGAGGTATGATCTGGTTGCTCAGTTTTTATTCTTCCTAGTTAAGTCAGCCATGGATAAGATGGAGATCAATGCTTCCTTGCAGGAAGAATGTGCTTTCCTCAGTCTAAAATTATAAGACTTCTATTAAAAAATAATCCATTAGTCCAGGAGATCTGTTTTCATGGAGCAAACTGAAATATATTTCTAAGAAAAGATAATCAAAAGGTAAGGAGGCTAAATGTGAGGAAGCATATTCCTGTTGTAATTTAATAGGATTAAGAAGCCATTATATAACATTTGCTGTTTGCATAGGAATTGCTTACGAGACAATATAGTAATTACATAATCTCTTGTACCTATTTGTCTAAAACTGGATGTTCTTAATGTCTATAGAAAGGACAACTCCATATTTTATTTAAAAAGAAACCACACATTTAAATGTTATAGACATTTCCGTTTCTTCAATAATCAAACTTTAAAGAAATTCTACAAGAGCTTGTAGTTATCTGAGAAATGATACTCTCCAAATTTCTTTTGTGTTAAAAAGTAAACAAATACGATTTACATAATTCTTATGCTAGATAATGAAAGAAACTAAATACAGGATTATGTTTCTTAATTTTGCTTCAAATGTGAAGAACAGGATCAAACAGAAAATCATTTTTATATCATTTTTCTATTTAAAATCTTCTTCCAAAGACATACTTTATTTCATGCATTCATAAAATGGCTAGCTGACCAGAGCTTTCTGGTCCATACTGACTTTCTGTGTGCTTGTGGGCACTGGATCTCCCAAGCCCTCCCCCCCTCAGCACTGCTACATGATTGTTTAACGACTGCAACGCAACAAGCTGGAATTGTGGCCATTGAGCAAAGCAGCCAACATGGGTGACCTGCTTGGTGACCACAATGACTTACAACAAATTTCTAGGCTCAGTTGTGGTCATAAGTCGAGAGCCACCTGTATTTTACTACAACTGATAGATGACTGAAATGCAAAAGCTGGAGAAATGGAGAAATCTAGAACAAGGGAAACCCAACAGTATAAATCATAGACTAACAGTATTTCACAAAGAGAATTCATTGTTTATTGGCAAGATTTATTTAAAGCAACTTGATACATGGTTATCATTGATATGCAAGTTTGGAATTAAATCAGCTATATAGTAGGAAACTGAAGAGGGAGAAGTGCAATCTAAATCAGATTGTTTCCAAGTACAAACAAACCTTGAAGTATTTTTGTCAAATATATGAGTTTTATTTCCAAAATTGAAAAAATAAACATGGATATAAGTTGCAGATGAAAGAAGAATTAATGTCTTTCTCTAGGGTCTTGTCTATCTTGTATGGCTGGCTCAACGTTTCAATTATGTTTAGCAGAACAAACATGATACTTATTTCATTGCTCTATATTTCCGTTTCTTAGTTTCTTTATTTAACCATAACTTCCATATTTAATTTTCACACATTTTTCTTTTAATTTCACAAACTGACCTCAATTAGTAACCTTACATTTATACTGCCTTAATTTGTCTTGACCAGCTGTATCATTTAGCATAATCTTTACTTTTGTTAAGAGGTTAATCAAGAATTACCATACAATTTTATCAGTGCTTACATCAGAACTCTGAACTGATTTTCCAGGCAGGTTTCCAGTTAGATATATAAGACTATAGCTTCAGCTAGAACAGGGGTCTGCAACCCTAAACACTCAAAGAGCTATTTGGACCTGTTTCCCATAGAAAACAAAACACCAGGACCCACAAAACCTGAGTGGGTGTGGCCAACTCGACATCACTCACTCCCACCAAGTCACATGACCCCTCCCAGCCACGCCTACCCAGGTTTTGTGGCTCCCGGTATTTTCTATGGGAAACAGGTATCTCTCTCTGTATGTGTGTGTGCGTCTTTCCCCCTCTCTCTCTTTCTCTCCTCTTTCTCCCTCTCTCTCATCTTTCTCATCTCTTTCTCTCATTTCTCTTTCTCTCTCTCCTTCCCTCTCATCTCTTTCTCTCTCCCTCCCTCACTCTCATCTTTCTCTCTCTCTCTCATTTCCCTCTCTTTTCCCTCTCTCATTCTCTCCCTCCAGCTCTCTCTCATTTCTCTCTCCCTCTCTCTCTCCCAATTGTTTCTCTTTTTCCTCTGTCTCATTCTCTTCCTCCAACATTTTCTCATTTCTTTCTCTCTTTTTCTCCCCTTTTCTCTCTCTCATCTCTCTCTCGCACACGCACGTGCGCCCAAGTGGGATACCCTCCTGGACTGGGATCACAGTGGCAGCGGGAATGGCAATTCCTTCTCCCGCTGCCACCACTGCGCAGTGAGGTGAGCAGCGGGCTGCTCAGCACAGGAGAGCTTGCCTGCACTGTGCAGGAGAGCCTGCCCGTGCTGCGCAGGAGAGCCTGCCCATGCTGTGCAGAAGGATGCGGAATTGCAAAAAGCAGCCGGTCATGGGTAGTGCGGAGAAAACACTAGGGACACTTGAGCTGCGTGGCTCTGTGGAGAAGCTTGCGCTTTCTCAGGGCGGAGAGCAGGTTGTATGACTGGGTAGGCAGGGAGCCGCAGGAGAGGGATCAAAGAGCCGCATGTGGCTCTGCGGCTGCGGGTTGCCAACACCCAAGCTAGAACATTCCATTAAAAAGCACTGAATACAGCTTATAAATAAAAGTGAAGGACAAGGGCACTAAAAATCATCACAGTATTTAATATTTTCTCCCAAATATTAATTTTTCTACAAAATTTAACTTTTAAATGAATTAGACTGAAAAGCATAGACATATCATACACACAGATACACCCAAACATTTCACATTAGGGATAAATTAGTACAAGCAATATAGACAATTACTGATTCAAACAGTTATATACCTAGAAAATACTTTTACATTATTTCTAATCTAATATGAAAAGTATCCTGTTTCAAATATTCTGAAAAATGCCATAAACCATAAAAATATCACTCTAATTCACCTGATGGTTTCTTCTTGATACAGTGAGCTGACAACTGGACCTCCAAATACAGCTTTTCCTTCTTTTCCTTTCTTTTCTGATATCTGAAAGAACAAACATAGTAATACTTGTTTACACATTTTGATTCTGAAACTATGCAGATCATGCTCAAGAATAATTCTATGGAATCATTTCCCCCTCTCATTTTCAGACCCTAGTTATAACATTTAAGATCACAGAAACATACCTTGCCTTATCAGCAAAGAAAAGCAAACTTGTAACAGTTATGCCAGGATCCACCAGCTAGGTACCAAATATGTTAAATAAATATACATAATAATAAAATCCTTTTCAGTTCATATGAGCCCAGGAATGTGTTGTCATTATTAGAACCAAACTGATATCACAGTCAAGCCCACTTTGATTATTCTTCAAGCTTCCTTTCTTTCAGCTTCAATTTAAGCAGAAATCATATGCTGTTAAGTGTTCCATATTGTAAAACAAATACATTGTTAAACAAGTGCAGAAAATTATTTTGGTTGAACAAGCATGAAGGAGCCAGCAATGAAGTGTCTCAGGCAGAAGCTCAATGTCAAGCAAGTTAAAGACTCATGTGCAAATCTTACAATACAGTCAGGAAACCAGGTTACTCAGTCTCTGAAAAAGATCTTAAAAGACTACTAGTATGCATGCAACTATTTTGAATTCTAGTAACAGGAGATTTAATAGAAACATGGAGAAATGAGTTCATGATGGGTATGTAGTCACTTGTTTGATTGGCATGGAACTTTTGGACATAATATGCCAACTAGGTAGACTCCTAAATGCTGGGGAGGAGACATCAACAACATCAACAACATTAGAAAATGCTCCATGTTACACATGCTAGAGTTCTAGGGCATCAATATGTGGAGCACAGTATCCTTCTGGATCGCCTGCAGGGAGTTGAAGGCAACATTTTAATGGTTCTGCTCCTACCTTAATTTCTTGATTTAATTGGGGGTGCTGGAAGAAAGGGGATTGAGCCCTTGGGACCTCCTTTGTTGAGTTTTCCATCGTTTGAGCCTCTCCCCTGTATTATTTAATATATACATACAGCTGTTGAGAGAGATCATCTGCTGGCTCAGGGTGTCACCAATATGCCAATGACAGCCAATTATACGTAGCTATCCCAGGCTGAGATGGAGATGTCACACAAGTTCTGAATCAGTGCCTGGAGGTGGTCAGGAAGAGTGAGACATAACAAGCTCGGACTAAATCCTACCAAGACTGAGTCGCTTGATGCCATTAGACTTTTATAACATCAGTCCCAGTCTTGTTTCAGGCTGAGCACATACATGCCAAACTGACTTACAAATAGTTTACTAGTGAATGGCAAGCAATTAACTTACATGGCAGGGAGAGAACTGATGAGTTTTTGCATTCTCTCTCACACACACATACACTCGACCAATGTGGGAGAGCAAGTTTTTTTCTGAGGCAGCTCACTCCAAAACCAAAATAGAACATGGATAAGCACAGTCTACGGCAGCCCAGGGAATCAGCTGCCAAGGAAGTTAATCAGTTAGCCCAGGGTCAAACAACTAAGATTCAGAATGCAAACAGGAAGGAGCAGAGAGGTGAATTTGGTTTGGTTATTCCCAACAAAGAGCCTGGCTGTTAGTAGTTATTCTAACATAGGTAGGCTCCAAGGATGTCTCAATTAAGAAATATAACATCTCTGTTTCTTGAGGAGCAGAGTGCCTCTGTCTGATACTTTGGAGTTCCCAATATGTTCTCCATCTAGGTTGTCTTTGGATGATTTATCATCTGATTCTCCTGCCTGACTCAGTCAACTTCAGGTGATTGATAGCTTACTGAATCTTTTTTTTTTCTTTTAAAGAAAAATACAATATTAAAGATTTTTAAGGAAGATAAAACTAATATACATTAATGTAAAATAATTCTCACTTTATTTTCTAATTGACATTTTGCTGAGACCTCAGCTGCTCATTCCTCTAAGTCAGAGTCAATCACAGTTCTGGTACTCACTTTTCAAGGAGTAAAGGTCCCCTGAAGAAGCTACAGTAATGCAAGTTCTGAGGATTCTTCATATTTGTCTTTCCTCAGCTTTGGTTACTGCAGCAGTTGGGATGCCCTAGTGAAGGTGATTCATTGTAAAGAGCAAGGGAAATGACTCTGATGAAACTGCCTATTACCTAGGCAAGGGGGGTGGGGTGAAACATTTTTTAAAGCCAGCAAAACAAGATAATATTCAGAAGCAGATTGGGCAAACACTTCTCTGACTCCCTAAAGCTAAAGAGGAGGTATAATTCAATCAAGATTCAAAAGCTTAATTAAATAAAGTATAGATCAAATCTTTCTGTGGAGTTGATTTTCTGGTCTACCTAGTAGGGCTACCTTTGGAGACAACTCAGAAGCTACTGGTAGTTCAAAATCTGGTGGCAAGGCTTCTGTTGGGTCAATCCCATTAGCATAGAATCCCACCTATTTTGAAGTTGTTGCATTAGCTGCTGGACAGAATTCCAAGTGCTCGTAATGGTTTTTTTAAAGCCCATCATTGCATTGTACCAAATGATATCAGGCAATGTCTTCATAAAATAGAATCTGCCTTGCTGATATAAACATCCAGAGAGGGCCTGTTGACATGATCTGTATGATGGGCCTTCTCAGTGGAAACCCCTACTTTTTGAAGTATCTTAAGTCCAGAAGTGAGGATGACCCTTTCCTTCTTATATTTAGGAAGCACTTTAAATCTCTTCTAGTTATATTAGGATTAAAATTGATCAATCGCTGTTAGATCCAAACCCAAGATGACACGGCAAAATCCAATTGAGTTCCGCCCTTTATTTGCTTACACCTAATGAACAGAATCTTGCCAAACTAAAGCTATATACTTCTAACCTATTAGATACATCCTGAAGGATTCTAGGATGTGGCTACCCTGAACCTCTCTCCCTCTCCTTCCAACTCAGAACTGCACACAGTCTCATAATTTGGGCTTCTCTCTGATATACTTCCTCCTCTCTGGGAAAGTTCTGTGTTGCCAGGACTCCCTTCCACTACTTCTCCAGGTTCACATTTCTTTAGGAAAAGGAGGGGCAGAACCTGGGGGCGGAGCTGAAAGGCAGATCAGCCTAGAAACTCTACATAATCACAAGTGAATTAGATTATTGTCAGGTGCAAAACATCAGGTCCACATGTGAAGGTCCAGTTAAACTGATTTATTGCTACTCATGCCTATGCACAGGAATCTTCTCAACTAACAGTTAGCACCTGCTTGGATTTAGACAAGGGTCAACAGAATTCAAGGGAAGTTGGATTTAGTTCAACTTCTGGCTATGTAGGGATTTTAGGCTGATCCCTCTTTTAACTTTGCCCGCAGATTTTGCCACCCCTTCTCCTACAATTCCATCACAATCACCCAAACAAGAGACTGCCGTGTTTTAGGTTATAAACATCAGTAGGGGAAGTATCGAAAGGAGGAAATGCTGTTATATTTTAATTATACACAAACGAACTGGATACATTCATAATCCATCACAATAAAGAAACCAAATTCCAGAAGTACATCTTGGAAGACTTGGTCATGATGCTTGAATCTGAGTGTGGTAGACATGATGGAAAACAGTGACCTCTATGCAATTAGATTTCATGCATATGTACACAAAACACAACCAAGGAATTCCATATTGAAATCCTAGACTTGGGGAGGGAAAATATTTCCCAAATGAAGAGACTGAAAAAAAAAAAGAAGAAATTATTGAAAACAGCAAAATTGGGAGCCCAGGCAAAATGTATATTTCAATGCAGAAAAGGAGAAAAATCATGAGGATATCCATTTGGCTGACAAATTCAGTCAAGGAGGTTATTCTTGCCAAACTGAGAAGATCAAAAGGAAATATAAGCACTGGCAAAAAAAGAGTCTGAGGAGTACTTGGCTAAAAACTAAAAAGACAATTAAAAATTCCCCAGCTATAATAGAAGCAGGAAACCGGACAGGCGTGCTTTTGGACTGCTAGATGACCGGGGGGGGGGGGGGAGGGCCACTCCAAGAGGATGTGGCGATATCACAGAACATGAATGACATCTCACCACAGAGGACAAAAAATGGCAATTCAGTCAGTCTCTTGTGGCGTTCAGCTTTCACTGCTCAGTGTAGTCCCCCTTTGTTGGGAGGAATGAGAGGCTGCTGGAAGATCAACCTTTCACTCCACTACACCATTGATGCAAGTGTTTCAGGGCCACAAAGAATGGGTGGAAGTGGTTCATGTGCTCGCTGCTGGTGTTTGCCACTTTCTGCCAGGGCTGCTGAAACTGGGTCCTATCTTCTTGTTGGGACTAGTCAGTCAGGGGTCTTGAGAAGGCCACTACTGCTGTTATCACCTAATATTTCTGGGTTAGAAGAAAAGAGGCCACTAATTGGTGATGCCAGATGCCCCACCTCAGCCACTGCTACTGCCTCCAATGGCTGATAATAGTGATTTGCAAACCCCACAGCCTAAATATGAAAGGCAGAATAACTGGTGCTTGGTTGTTTGGCCTCTGCCTGCCTTGCCACCATAGCAAGATGATTATAACTCTATACTCGATATAATCTCAATAACTCTGATGACTCCCCCTCTCCAAGTTCTCAGGGTAAGATGAGTTCTTTGTTTTTTTGGCAATGAAACTCACTGCTTAAGATTGTTACCTACCATGTCTCTTTGTTCACTGTCCCTTTCCTGTTTTATGGAAAGATCTGGCATAATTAGGTTCATTAGGCCCTCTTTTTGCCCCATACCATTTCACTCTGGTGTTGAAGGCCACAGGTATCTGACTGAGTTGGTCTGACAGCAGTAGGTTCAGCTGAGTGGGTAAATGGACAAGTTAGGTGATTGACTTTTGTCCTGCAGCTGCTGCCGGTATAATTGGCTATTTTGCCTTTTCCATGTGATCACCAGACTTAAGGAGGATGGAGTGAAGTCCATGGCTGGCTTGTGTGGATGGAGTTTTTTTGCTATCTTAACCAGGAGGACTGCAATGTATTAAGGCTAAACTTTTCACCATTGGACTGAGAAACTTTGTGCTGATTTTGAGGAAGTGGCAAAGGTTAGCTTTGGCA